TATATATATATATATATACACACACATATATACATATATGCATGCATATACATATACTGTAAGTTGCTTTGTATAAAAGCATCTGCTAAATGCATACATTAATTAATTAATTTAAATTAATTAATTAATTAATATGTACTATATATATATACTGTATAATTCTATTTAAAGAAATTAGTAGCCTTTTAAAAATGTTTTCACAGTTGAGAATTAAAATAAATATTTATGTATTAAAAATATATTTATTAAATTAACATCTGATTTAAAAATGAAACCTTGATGAAGAAGCATGTCTTGATGTTCATGACTCAAATTCATGATATTAAAAAATTACATTAATTAAATCCAAATTAAAATGTGACTTGTTTTATCACAACATACTTATTTTTTGTTATTTTTTATTGTTTATATATTCATATTTTGAAGTTTTTATTATTATATTTTCAGTTTTCAATTAGACATTTGTTTTATTGTTTTTTTTTTATATTTCTATTTAATTAGTTTTATTTTTTGTTTTGTTTATGTGAATTGTATATGCAGGTACATCTCAATAAATTAGAATGTCGTAGAAAAGTTCATTCATTTCAGTAATTCAACTCAAATTGCATTGAATTTATTTAATACACGAGTTTCACAATTTGAGTTGAATTACTGAAATAAATGAACTTTTCCACGACATTCTAATTTATTGAGATGCACCTGTATACATGTGCAAATGCATAGGTATGTAAATTATTTTAATAATTATTTGACAATTTAAAGCTTCTTTTACCAAGCATGTGTACATCACTGTACATATTTATTTATTTCAGGTTTATTTGACAGGGACAATGCACATCAATAATACATAAATGTACAATGTGCCAGAATTTGCCAGAAGGCTATTTTGCATCTGCAGTCCCTGGACTGATGGTAAAATTGTCACCCTAAAAATATAAAGAATTAATCAATACATAATACTTACATACTCCAAAATACATATAACATTCACACTATTCCTAAAAAAAACATCCGCTTAAAAGTTATACTATACACAGAACCAACAAATCAATACAAGCTCACTCATACACACAATCCAACTGTCAAACAAAATGACAAACAATGTATCAATAATATCATACATATTATGAGATGAATCTTAAAGAATACTGTAACAGTGTTTTGGTTGAGCAGACTGGTAGTCATGAGGGAACCCTTTGCTCCTGGTTGCCATAACAACACTGTTGCCATAGATACATCTTGTCTGGATGTAGATGTGGGAGGGATTTTATTTATTTATATATAAAGTCTAAGTGTCTAAACTGTCTGAATGAGAAATTAAAGCATGACAAGGCTCGACAAAGGCAGAAAGAAGAAGAGTTTTGAAGGAAGTTTCCCTTCGTTTACACAGACTGGAAACTGACTCTCTCGTAACTGTCGATCGGTTTTTATAGCCATAAAATGAGCCCTTAACAGAAACGTCTGTATCAGCACTCACTGCTCTTGCCTTAATGGATCATAACTCAACATGTTGAACTAGTTGATTGATTCATAATGGTAGGTGGATGGTGTTCAACTAAGTGTAAGTGAGATAAAACGACGGACGTCGGGAGCTGCCTGCGATCATGCACTCGTATGCACAAATTACTGTGCCTTTGCTGCAGTGAAATTTGAGCTGCCGTTTTTAAAAGCCTCTGTGTTTGTTTCACACTCTCTTTAGAAATGGCAGAAGCCCATCAGGCCGTGGCGTTTCAGTTCACTATCACTCCAGAGGGGATTGACCTGCAGCTGTCCCATCAGGCCCTGAGACAGGTCTATCTGTCAGGTCTCCGCTCCTGGAAGAAACGCGTCACACGGCTGAAGGTAAACACGCATTACACGTACTAATGGCTTTAGAGGTAACATTGCTATTTGCAATGCATTTAACTTCCTTTACGTGATGTATTTTATATGGTAAATCTGGGATTTGGTTTAAAACAGCTTGTATTGTAGATGCTAGACTATGATATTATTTTATATATATATATATATATATATATATATGTATAGTTTCAGAGAGAAAGTTAATTCATTTGAATTTTCTTTTTCTTTTCTTTTTTAGGATAAAATTCACAATTGAACAATAAAATGCACAATAAAGTCTTTATTACAAAAGCAAATCTCATATTGTTTTTATTTTGTTATCTATTAAATCCATCCATTTTATACTTATTTTTGTTTATGTAATACTAGTGCATTTAATGTTGATAATGGATCTGTATACTTGATTATAAAAAAAACACATTTATTTATTTTAGGATAAAATGCACAAATGAACAAAATACACACTAATATATTTATTATAACAGCAAATAGCTCTTTTGATTTTATGTTGTCATTTAGTAGTAGTGTATTTAACTTCGATAATGCATTTTTATATTTGATTATGAAAGCAAACATCTATTTATTCTAGACTAAAATGCACAAACGAACAATAAAATGTAATAGATAATTTTGATAATTTGTCGACTACTAAATCTGCCTGTTTTGTTTTTTTGTGCATGTAGTAATTATTAATGTCGATAATGCATTTTTTTGTTTGATTCTAAAAAAAAACATTTTACAGCAAAATTCACAAATGAACAATAATATGCAGTAAAATCTTTATTACAAAAGCAAATAGCTCATTTTGATTTTGATTTTTTAAATTTATCGTCTGCTAAATCTGACCATTGTTATGTGTATGTAAGTGTGTTTAATGTCAAAAATGGATTTTCTAATTGGTTATAAATACAAACATTTATTTATTTTAGAATAAAATGCAGAAATGAACACTAAAATGCACAATATAATCTCTATTACAAAAGCAAATAGCTCAGTTTGATATTTTGTCACCTACTAAATCTGTTTTATGTTTATTTTTATTTAATTTTTTTTAATGTCAGTAATTCTCACAGATTCCCCAGCTGGATTTCATAGTGTCTTTTGTGTATTCTGTCCATCTTTCTCCTGTACAGAACAACGTGATCACTGGTGTGTATCCCGCCAGCCCGTCCTCATGGCTGTTTGTCGTCATCGCGATCTTGGCCACCATGTACACACGCTCGGACCCTTCCATGGGCCTCATCGCTAAGATCCAAGAACATCTGCCGGTCAGGTAATAGAGGTCACATTACCACAGGGAAATCTGATCCCTTGCTCTTTAAAGACAGAACTTGCAAAACAAAGGAATTATCTGCAGTGTGAACCACGTTAGTGGCTCAAAGAAACACTAAAACATTTGTCATCCTCTTATGTAACTCACATTGAAACTTTTTAAAAGAATGGGGGATCCCACAAACGAACTCATGTAAATGCCCGAGGAGGGTGTGTACCTTCACACACCTTGTTTCAGTTAGTTTCAGAAAAAAGCAGAAGAGTTATTCTACAAAACAGATGCAGTTTTGTGTCCCTCATATGTGCAACAATGACTTTAATAATTAATAGATGATGGTAACTTTGTGAGACTAATATAGAAAATTCTAAATATATTAACAAAAATTTTTTTTTGGTTGTCACAAAGAGCCCTGTTTTTCCCCTCTATTAGCATTTCTGATTAAAACATATTTGGAAATGACAGCTAGCTACACTACCGTTCAAAAGTTTTTTTTTAAGTTATTCTTTTTTTTTTTTTAAGAAATTGATACTTTTATTCAGCAAGGATGCATTAAATTTATGAAAAGTGACAGTAAAGACATTTGTAACGTTACAAAAGATTTATATTTCAAATACATGCTGTTCTTTTGAACTTTCTAGTCATCAAAAAGCAGCTTTTTTCAGCATTGATAATAACAAGAAATGTTTCTTAAGCAGCAAATCAGCATATTAGAATGATTTCTGAAGGATCATGTGACACAGAAGACTGGAGTATGATGCTGAAAATTCAGCTTTGCATTACGGGAATAAATAAAATTTTAAAATATATTCAAATAGAAGACAGTTTTCATGAAAACATATTTTAAATGGTAATAATATTTTAAAATATTACCATTTTTACTGTATTTTTGGTCAAATAAATGCAGCCCTGGTGAGCATATGAATCTTCTTTAAAAAAATATTAAAATATCGATCCCAGACTTTTGAATGTTAATGTACATATTTTTAGATTTAATAAAAGAATTTAATTATTGTTTATTTAATAAAAATTATTGTTATTAAAAAGAATTTAAGTTGTGTCTCCAGTTTAGGTGTCAACCCTATTATATTGTTCCCTTTTGAAAATAATGGTAAAAAAAACTGTCATAATGACAATATCATACTTTTAAGATGAGAACTTAAGCACATTCTGTTTTTCAGTAGGGGACAATAATAAAAATTTATGAAAAGTGACAGTAAAGACATTTGTAACGTTACAAAAGATTTATATTTCAAATACATGCTGTTCTTTTGAACTTTCTAGTCATCAAAAAGCAGCTTTTTTCAGCATTGATAATAACAAGAAATGTTTCTTAAGCAGCAAATCAGCATATTAGAATGATTTCTGAAGGATCATGTGACACAGAAGACTGGAGTATGATGCTGAAAATTCAGCTTTGCATTACGGGAATAAATAAAATTTTAAAATATATTCAAATAGAAGACAGTTTTCATGAAAACATATTTTAAATGGTAATAATATTTTAAAATATTACCATTTTTACTGTATTTTTGGTCAAATAAATGCAGCCCTGGTGAGCATATGAATCTTCTTTAAAAAAATATTAAAATATCGATCCCAGACTTTTGAATGTTAATGTACATATTTTTAGATTTAATAAAAGAATTTAATTATTGTTTATTTAATAAAAATTATTGTTATTAAAAAGAATTTAAGTTGTGTCTCCAGTTTAGGTGTCAACCCTATTATATTGTTCCCTTTTGAAAATAATGGTAAAAAAAAACTGTCATAATGACAATATCATACTTTTAAGATGAGAACTTAAGCACATTCTGTTGTTCAGTAGGGGACAATAATAAAATATATAACCTGATTTTGCATAGTAAACAATCATCAAAAAAGTTAACTGAAAGTGATAATGCAACACTTAAATAAATTATTAGCCTGATAGGATATTTACAATCTTTCAAAAATGTGACTAAAAATCACCTTATCAGACTGCACCTGTTTCATAAGCTGGGTTTCCACCCAAACTGTCATGTAAGACAGTTCTGGGAGGCAATTATACAGAAATACTTTGACGACAGACTTTGCTCGGGCATTTCAGAATGACCATAACAACATTTCAGATGCTGTGCAACTGGATCGGTCTGCTGGTTAGTCATGTTATGTCGTCCCATAATGCAAAGTCACATGGTTTTTTGATGCTCATGGAGGAATTTATTCGGCATTGCGTTTCCATCTCCCATTATTCGCATTAACCCTTTTTTGCACAAGTCAAATCCAATTTTGCGAATCAAAGGGTTAGTTCACCCAAAATTAGGCTGCGTTTTACTCACCCCCGATGCATCCTAGGTGTATATGACTTTCTTCTTTCAGACGAGTCCAGTCGGAGTTATTTAAAAAATTGTCTTTGATCTTTCAAGCTCTATCGTTGCACTCAGCGGGTGCCTAATGCACAACGCTGACCCCATACATCATTCCCCCGGAACTGCTTCCGTTTTACAATAGTGATCGCAAGCTAGATTAAAGTGATTATTACGTTTTGAATATGGACAACGATATTGCAACGATAGAGCTTGAAATATCAAAGACAATTTTTTATATAACTCCGACTGGATTCGTCTGAAAGAAGAAAGTCATATACACCTAGGATGCAACGGGGGTGAGTAAAACGCAGCCTAATTTTAATTTTTGGGTGAACTAACCCTTTAAGGGATTTTTTTTTCCCCAAAATTTGGAATTTCCATCACTTGATTCTGATGTGATGCGTCAAAATGCGTATAAAAACAGGGTGATGGAAACAAAGCTATTGATTGTCCCAAAAACTAATAAAACATTAATTAAAGTATTGCATATAGCAGTGTAATATTGTCTCTTTTTCTGTAGTGATTCTCTGAGCGTTCAGTGTCGGACGGTGGTTTCTGCCGTGTTGTTCAGCACTCTGCTCTGGCTCTTGCTGATCTTCACCATGAGGCTTTGCCTGAAGCAGTTACTGTCGTATCACGGCTGGATGTATGAACAACACGGGAAAGTGTCCAACACCACCAAAATCTGGGCGGTTAGTACAGTCATACTATCAGACACACCTAACCTACTAACCACCCAACCTGTAATGGTAAATAAAGGTGAAGTGTGTACATTTACGGCATTGGTGGAGCCAGTGTTGTTGTGTCGGGGTTTGAGGGAACCAGGCTATAAATATTTTACTTGTACCTGATTGTCAACACATATTAAAGGGGTCCTATTATGCTCTTTTACAAAGTCTTGATTTTGTTTTGGGGGTGTACTAGAACAGGCTCTCATACTAGGTTGTTCGAAAAACACATTATTTTTCACATATTTTACATTATTGCAACACCACTCTCCTCAGTCTGGCATGAACGGCTCGAATAGTTCCTGTATCAGTCGTTCGTTGTAGTTTTTAAAAAGTGATTTCTGTTAAACAAAATATCTCCTTTTGAAGTGGACTTTGAGCTTTGTAACTTTGCAGATCTTTTTTAATCTCAAACAGCAACATTACAGACTAACTAATGTTGAAAAAGTGAAAAAACATAATAGAACCCCTTTAAACTGGATAGGAGAGTATTTTAACATCAAAATCACACTTTACCTTCAAATATGCTTGTTTTCAGGCCATGGTCCGGATCTTCTCGGGTAGACAGCCTCTGTTGTACAGCTACCAGGGCTCTTTGCCCAACCTGCCTGTTCCAGCAGTCAAGGACACTGTTAAGAGGGTGAGATCATCATTATGTCATCATCTTCACCAAAATATATCACTAAACCATTTTAAATGGAAAAAATAACATTCCAAGCTGTCTCTCTCACATATAGTACCTGGAATCTGCGCGTCTGTTGATGAGCGATTCTGAATATGAGAGGATGACAACTCTGGCCAAGGAGTTTGAGAGCAGTCTGGGAAACCGCCTGCAGTGGTACCTCAAACTGAAAGCCATGTGGGCATCCAACTATGTGAGAGCAACCAGCAAACCATACACATTAACTTCACGCAATACATGTCAGTCTTCTAATGCAACCTTAAAAATGCTGTTTGTAACCTCGTTTGCTTCTGTAATCTCACATTAAACATTCAGGTTGGCTCTGACATATAAGGAAATGTAGGATGGAATTTGATTTTATGCAACAGGAATTGATTGGATTGTAAAAAAGTGGGCATTGCTACCAAAATAAAGGTGATTTGGGGAGCGAGGTTGAAAGTAAGAAGGATTTGTGATGTCGAAGTGTAAACAATTGCATTTTTATTTTATTTTGATGCAAGTTTATGAAAACAAACATATTTTATATAGAATAAATTATGCTAATAAGCAGAGATGAAGAATTTATTATTTATTATTTATTACATATTAGGTTTAATATGGGCTTTACATACATACCATTATGGGGAAGTCGTGGCCTAATGGTTAGAGAGTCGGACTCATAACCCAAAGGTTGTGGGTTCGAGTCTCGTACCGGCAGGGATTGTAGGTGGGGAGGGAATGTACAGCGCTCTCTCCCACCTTCAATACCACGACTGAAGTGCACTTGAGCAAGGCACCGAACCCCCAACTGCTCCCCGGGCGCCGCAGCATAAATGGCTGCCCACTGCTCCGGGTGTGTGTTCACGGTGTGTGTGTGTTCACTGCTGTGTGTGTGCACTTTGGATGGGTAAATGCAGAGCACTAATTCCGAGTATGGGTCACCATACTTGGCCACATGTCACGTCACTCACTAATTAAATGTTAAGTTTAATATGAGCGTTACATACCAAATTAAAGGTGATTTGAGGAGAGACGTCAGTCAAAAATCCAAGTCGTGCACACAACAGTTGCATTTCTTTTCTTTTTTTTAAGATTGAATTTTGGCGTTTTTGCGTTTTTGAGAGGGGGGATGGGATCGGGAAAGGTCCGCGAGCCTGGACTCGAACACGGGACGCCCGAAGCGCAATGGCGCTACATGTCAACGCGCTGCCCACGAGGCTATCGGTTATAAATAGTTAATTAGCAGAAATGAGGAATTTAGTATTTAAATTAATATTTATTAAATATTAAGTTTAATATGGGTGTTGCATGCCAAATTAAAAGTGATTTGAGGAGAGGATAGAATTACATTTTGATGAAAGATTATGAAAACAAACATTTATTGTTTATTTTGAATAAATAGTGTCCTAATAAGCAGAGACAAGGAATTATTTATTAAATATTAAGTTTAATATGGGCTTTACATAACAAACAAACAAACAAAAAATGTAAAAAAAAATTTTTTTTATAAAAATATTATCATTTAGAATAAATGGTGTACTAATAAGTTGAGGAATTTAATGTTTAATTTAATATTTATTAAATATTATGTTTAAAATTGAAATTGATTTTAAATTGGTCCGTTTTAATTTCATGTTGACCTGAAAATCATATTTTGCTAGTGGGTTTGAACTGTAGGATGGTACAAATATTTCCTATCCTGTTTTTTTTATTTTTGTTTTTGAGGTTTAATTTGAGAATTCTTTTTTTCTTGTGTCTGCATCTTCAAGGTCAGCGATTGGTGGGAGGAGTATGTCTACCTGAGGGGGCGTGGCCCACTCATGGTCAATAGCAACTACTATGGAATGGTACGGCTCCCAGTGAAAACATTTTCAGATGCATTAACAAGCAGGAAGTTCTAGTGGTAAAGTGATATATAATTTTTTTTTTAATCAAGCCTCTTGAGTCCTCCTCTTTCATCCTCAGGACTTCCTGTACGTGACACCTACACCGATTCAAGCCGCAAGAGCAGGAAACACACTGCACGCGTGTCTCTTGTACCGTAGGAAACTCAACAGAGAGGAAATCAAACCTGTGAGTCCACATTGCAGTGCTGACAGATGACATTGGGCGAGGGGTGAAACCTCTCATTGCCCCGAGTGATGACAGAGATTGATCGCAGAGCTGTTTTTAGCTGTGCATTGAACTTTGTTAGGCTATGGATGGGTAATGGAGACTGTGATGGTGTATAGGGAAGACCTGCAGGTGTTTGCATAGTTTTATTAAAGAGAACATATAACGGGAATACTTTTTCTCTTTTGAAAGTTTAGTGTGCCTCGGTCAATCTAAGGATATACACCATAAAACGTTTGAAGTTCATAAAAAGTTCAATCTAGTTCTTCATGGCATCTAAACTCGAGTCCAATTTACATACTAAGCAGATTAGCATATTTATATATCCACATTTATATATCATCATATTAGCAACTTGGCCCATTTTGATGATTGAGCTTTTATCTTTGCCATGTGGAGTTTAGATATTCATTACTGGTCATTTACATGTCTTAAAGTTACAGTAGCAATAACAGCTTAAAGCGGTAGTCCAAACAAAATTTATAGTAAGAATGAATATTATTTTGAATAATATTTTTGGGTGCACTGTCCCTTTAATTGTGGGTGAAGGAGGGTGGAAAATACTTATGAAAACGAATTTTTGATTCAAGTTACCTTGACTAACAGTTGGCTATAACTCTGTCTTTTAGAGTCGTGTAGCAGTTTTAAATGTTCCTTTGTGTGCCGCTCAATGTGAGAGGATTTTCAACACCACACGCATTCCAGGAGAAGAGACTGGTAAGGCTAGATTTTTTTAATGGTTTTGAAATAAGTCTCTTATGTTCGCCCAGGCTACATTTGTTTGTTTAAAAATACAATAAAAACAGCAATATCATGGAATATTATTACAGTTTTAAATAACTGTTGTTTATTTGAATATACGTTAAAATGTAATTTATTCCTGTGATGCAAAGCTGAATTTTCAGCATCATTACTCCAGTCTTCAGTGTCACATGAGCCTTCAGAATTCATTCTAATATGCTGCTCAAGAAACATTTCTTATTATTATCAATGTTAATAATGTTAATAAATAAATGCTTCATATTTTTGTAGAATCAATGATACGTATTTCAGGATTCTTTGAGTAGAAGAAAAAAATTATATATATATATATACAGTGGGTACGGAAAGTATTCAGACCCCCTTCAATTTTTCACTCTTTGTTATATTGCAGCCATTTGCTAAAATCATTTAAGTTAATTTTTTTTC